GGAAGGGCTGTTTCTGGGGAGAACAGTGAATGCTCTAGTGGAGCAGTAGCAAGCAGACACCATACCCCTCGGAAGGCAGGAGGCAGATGGCAGGTGGGACAGCACAGGACAGGCATGTTGCCAGGGTATATGCAGAGTGAAGCATCCTGACATGAGCAGCTGGCTGTCAGTGTTGGAGAAGCAGAACCCTGACAGATCGTATCAGCCTTGGTCTCAGAGGACCCAGGGAACAGAAGAAGCCTTGACTGGGGACCTGCAGCCATCATCCCTGTCTATATGTGAGCTGCCAAGAAATGTGCACACCTACAGAGCAAATGGACTGAGCTCAGCATGGTGCTACAACAGAGCCAGAGTTGTGGCAAGACCTTCCCTGGAAGCCAGCATCCCAGCAGAGCTGTGTTAGTGCCAAGTGATGGGGCTGTGCCAGGGCAGCAGTCTGGAGCTCAGCTCAGTGTGTCCCGTTCCTTCTCAGAACACCTTCTTCACTGCTGTCCCTGTCCCTTGAAGATAACATGACTTTTTCTGCAGTCCTGACTGTTGTGCACCTGATGGGCTCAGCCAGGCAAGGCCTTTGTACACAGGACATATCCCAGTCCTAACCAGGAAATCCAAGTTAAGCTTAAGTCAACACTTGGCAGGTCAGGGCTGTCTTATGGCTGAGGCTTCGGCTTGGTTCCTGCTTCCACAGGAAGCCTGTCTTTAGCTGGAGCTTGTGCTCTGTCCTTCAGCTGCTTTTGTGCAGGGAGAAGCTGACGGGGGAAACCTGGGAAGAGAGCTTTGTGATCTGTACCTGTCGGGATCCCCCTCTAAGGCCAGGCTGTCTTTTGGTGCTTATGGCAGCCTGGAGTGAAGACATGCCCCAATACTCTGGATACTGCTACCCTCCTTTCATCTTCAAGCTGATCTTGCTTCAAAATGAGGATTTGCTGTTTAACTTGGTGCGGTTCCGTCTGCTGCTGCTTCGCAGATTTAAATGGTGTCCCACTCCAGAGACGTGAAGGCTGATCCCAAGTCTCTGAAGTGGAACACTGCTATTAAATTCATTTGTTGGGTCTTCTCCAGAGCATGCTTTCTTTGTTTTCCCTGCCCTCTTGTTCCTGTTCATTGCTGTTTGGAGTGAAAGTCCTGATCCCTGGTATTTCTCACTCCATTCCCTGTTCCCTACAACCAGGGCTGGGGCAGAGACCTTTCACTGGCACTCCTGGGTGGCAGGAGGGCTCCCTGCTTTCCCTGGCTCAGTGTAAGCCGTCTGGCTCACCTGGACAGTACTGATTCCTTCACACTTGTTTGTGCCTTGTCCCCCACCTCTTTTTTCACATGTGAGTTAATGTTGATTCCTCTTC